ACTCAGGCTAAGTTAGATTTTTTTCCATACAGCTATAATCATAGTGATGGGCAGCTAGGTGTCCTAGTATATAGAACACTGGGCTTAGAATCAGGAAGACTCATTTTCTTGGGTTCAAATCTGACCTCAGACATTTGCTAGCTATGTAACGCAGGTTAAGTCACTTAACCCTTGTTGGCCTCAGTTCCTCATCTGGAAAATTAGCTGGAGAAGGAAATGGCAAACCACTCCAGTATCTTTGCCAAGAAAATTCCAAAAATGGGGTCATGAAGAGTCAGACATAACTGAAATGATTGAACAACAACCTAAACATTATCATAGCATGGAGTCAACTTTACACTGAGATAAACGATTATAATTTAGAAAAGAATTTTTAAAAGCTGATTTATAAGCTCCTGATTATTCACTCTAATCTGTGGTTGACATTAGTGCCTACTTAGCTTTTGGCTGAAACAGAAAGGTACCTTTGACCAAATGGCCATGAAGAAGAATCCTCCTCTATGTCATGCCCAACAACGGGCCAGCTAACCTTTGCCTGAGGACATTCAAAGATGGGGAATCCACTTTGCACAGTTCTGATGCACATCTTCAGCTCAGTTTGAAGGCTGTCTTCAACTCAGTTTAATTTTACTCCTTTTTGCCTCCTGAAGAGAGCTTGAAAAAAAAAGACACGTGTGTGTGTGTGTGTGTGTGTGTGTAATTTATCCTCTATTAAGAGACTTCATGATATATACATACCAGCAGAAACTTGCATGTTTGATGTTTAAATAGCTTATATGCTCTTGCTGAGTCTTCTATTGCTTGTCACCTCTACCTTTTACCTTTCTGTTGCATCTCCAACCCTTCACACACACACACACACACACACACACACACACACACACACACACACACACACATCATTTACTGCTGTTTCCTCTACCTCCTATTTCCTTTACCCATGGCTACCTATCCTGTGTCTTCATTTTCTTTTCTCTTAGGTTCCATTTATGTTATTTGATTACCCCTGAACCATCTCCCTCTAGATTCTCATTTTTTTATTAGATGCTTCAGCTTGTAGTCAGAGTAACTGAAATTCAATTAAATGCAGATTTGTACTTCTTTTATGCAAATATTTTCCAAGAGGAAATAATTCGTGGAGCTGATTAGGTGGGGATATCCCTTATTGAGGGAAAGTCATTGTTGATTCTATAATTCAGTCAATCAAGCAAATATTAAGCACTTACTGTGTGCCAGGCATGGTGCTAGGCACTGGGAATGCAAATACAAAGAGTGAAATAATCCTCATTTATAAGGAGCTTGTGCTCGAATAGTGGAGACAAGAAGAACATAGATAAACACATAGCACCTGCTATGGAGCTTCTCTTCCAACTCCCACTCTCACTGGCAGGCTGAGTCCCCAGAGGGCGGCTACAATGTCTCTCCTCAGGGTTCTAGAGGTAGCCCTTAGGTATTTGTTGCTGTTCAGTCATTTTCAGTTGTGTCCAACAATTCATGACCTTATTTGGGGTCTTCTTGGAAAAGATACTGCCATTTTCTTCTCCAGCTTATTTTACAGGTGAGGAAACTGAGGCCAACAGGGTAAAGTGACTTGTCTAGGGTCACACAGCTAGTAAGTGTCTGAGGCCAGATTTGAACTCATAAAGATGAGTCTTCCTGATTCCAAGCCCAGTGCTCTATCCACTGCACTACCTTAGGGGTGGTTACCTAATGCTATTGCTTATGAGCCCCTATCAGTGCACTTCCCTCCTTTATTATCAGTTAACATCAAATAATAAGTCAGACAGTTAGCTTTTTTTAAAGGGTATTTACTTAGGTGGTATAGTAACAGAGTTGGTATAAAATGCCCACATTCTCCCTCTCAGAGGATATCACACAATCTCCCACAAAGTGTTTAGAGAGTCCGGAGGAAAATGAACTGAAGCTTAGAGCACATGTGGCAAAGGTCCTAGACATGTCTTTGCTAGAATTCTCAATATGTCCCCTTAGGTGTAATGTCGCTTTTGATTAGGCTCCTGGTAGAGTCCTGAAACTGCCTTTCCTCAATGCATCTAGTTTCTCCTCAGCTCCTAAAGCAGACCTTGTTGCCCATCACTGCTGCTTCTGGGACGTTGTTAGGGTGACAATGAGAAGACCAAATCTTCCAACCCTCTGAACTTTATAAGATCCAGGGGTGGGGAAGAAGATTAAAGTTCATTTCTTCTCCTGTCACCAAGTGATTTCCTTTCCAACGACTGGCTGGAAAACTCTGTCCTCTACACTTCCAGACACTAGAATGTTTGTATTCTGAACTGGCATGCTATTTTATAGATCAATGAAGTGGCACTTATGCAGTGTCATTCCATTTTATCCAATGGATTTCAAAGACTTCTTGTACATATTCTGATGCCCTCAATTGGTTGACTGATTCATTAGAGGTGCTCTTGCATGGTTAAAGTAGTGAGGCAGGGAGACTGATTGACTTAATCAACCCTGCCCTTTCATTCTTCCCCTAGTTTAATATGTATTCCTTTTAGCAAATCTACTGATGTGTAGTTGGCAAAGTCCATAGTCCAAATCCTGTAGAGCCCAATGGAAACTTGGGAGGGGGGAGGTTCTGAACTATCTTTATTTGAATGCCTTCCTAAGTGTCTTGAATTATCAATTCTCTGGAAGAGTCTGTGTGACACAGTTCATAATCATATCCACAATTCCAAATGTAGAGTGAGATAAATTAACAAATAGAAATAATTTTATAAAGTTCTAATAAGTTATCAGGTAAGAAACCAAACTGATTTAGTTTGTCCTCAAATAAGTGCCTAGCACACAGTAGGCACTTAATAAATATTTACTGTATCATTTATCATATGGTATTGCTTTTCTAAGAACACTGGCCCATTGAGTCCAGTGGCCTAGGGTCCTTAACCTCTCCCTCTCCTACTGAGGGGTTTCTCCACTTTTGACTCAGTTAGGTACCAAGTACTCACCAAACCAGTAATGGGTCCAAGTGGAACTGGAGTACTCACCCTCTCCCTTTCTCACTATGGGACCCCTCTGCTCTGGACCCCTGCCCACACATGCTCGGTTTGATCTTAGACTAACTTAAAAGAAAGAGATTTTCCCTTACAAATGTTCCCATTTTAGGCACTTAGGCCAATGTGATATTTTGAAATTTTTTTTGGTTGAAAGTCTAGCACATTCACATTCATATAAATATATCCTATCACTACAAAAACATCCTAAAAATAGATAATCAGTAGAATCCTAGGATAATAAACTTAGAGATGAAAATGACCTTAAAGGTCATCTAATCCAGCTGAAGTGCAGGAAGGTTTACTGCAAGGTCACACAGGAACAAGTACCTACTATGTGCCTACTATAGTGCTAAATCCTTTACAAATATTATCTCATTTTATCCTCATAACAACCTTGGGAGGTAAGTGCTATTATCTCCATTTTACAGTTGAGGAAACTTAGGAAGCAGAGTTTAAGTGATTTGCTCAGGGTCATACACAGCTAGTAAGTGTCTGAGGCTGAACTTGAATTCAGGTCTTCCTGACTACAGGCCCAGGTCCCCATCCATTGTACCACCCAGCTGCCTCTAGTAAGTGGAAGAACAACTGAGTCTACTGCACCATGCAGCATCCTGCTCTATTTCTTGAAATAATCATTTTGAAAATATAAACAAAACAAAACAAAACAAAAAAACCTCACCTTTTTCCTCAATGACCACAAAAATCAGGGATTAGTAGACACTATGAAGATGAAACTTATGGGTTCTCTGACAAGGATTTGGGAATATCTTTGGTGAGAAGAAATGCAATCTCTGTAACTGAATCAGAAAGTGGTTTAGAGAACCCTGCCTATGGTAATGCTGACCAGTCAGCTGTGATCCAGACAAGAGCAATGAGTGGAGGTTGCAAAGAAGCAAATTTAGGATTGACTCCAGGAAAATTTTCTTCACTATTAGAATTATACAGAGGAGGAATGGGCTAGGCTGGGTAGCAATAGGTTCCCTCTCACTAGAGAGCAAATGAATAACTACTTGTTCAGTGTGTTGTAGTAGAAATTCTTCTTTTCAGTGAAAGTCTGGACCGGGGCAATAGTTCTGATTGACAGGGAGCAGATTAGGGGAGCAGAAAGTTGAGGGGAAGGATGAAAGAGCGTGTTAGTCAAAGGGAAGACTGAGTACTGAGTAGTAAGAATGTTGATGGAATAAACTATTTATAAGATTCCAGAGTTAGTGAGATGGGACAGTAGAGTGATAGTACTTCTTCAAACTAGATTCACTAATTTTAAAAAAAATTTTTAAATTCCATGTATTTATTCTTTAATTAACACATATTTATTGAGTCACAATTATGTGCAAAACACTGTATGAAACACAAAGATGACAATAGATAGTTGTAGACATTTTCACACTAGGTGGCAGCATATGGAAGCATTTATTAAACTATTAATGGCAACAATAGAGAGAATACAGAAAAACAAATAAGGAATTCGTTAGAAGCCATTATTAAAAGGGACGTTATTACTGAGGATACACAAAACAAATCTTCTAAACTGTTCTTCCATAGGCAAACCTGAAACATCTCGTGTTGGAATATACTTCATGTATTTTTTTTCCACAGACAAATTCTTAAATGGCACAGAATCAATTTCTTTGACAGAGATTTTAAATATATTGGCAGCAGTGTTTCCATGGACTAAAATGGTACCAATCAGTTTTCTTGTTTGCAGAGACATCTATTTTTTGAAAAATAACATCGTGTTCCTGCTCATTTATCATGCTCGATGTTAAAAGCCTACTCAGGATACAAAATGCACAGGTTAAATGCTGAAACAGAGCCATTATATTCTTTTGAATTAATGTCCTCAGGTCACATTTGATGTCATTTCCTCAGTTTCTATTTCTCTCTCTCTCTCTTTTTTTTGGGTCTATGGCATTGAGGATACAATATCACTGTTTTCTAATTTTCTCCAGTTGTTAAAATTTAACTCTCAACTGTCTGTTTCATTAGATTTCCAGTGAAACCCATCTACAAAGCAGCTCTAATCAGTGGAGTATTCATTGTGATTGCATATTCTGGATGATTTTCTCCAGGTCCAAGATGAGTAATTGGTACATCAGCACTTTTGTTTCCCAGGAGTGCCTGGAGTTGACAAGAGCTGTTCAAGGAGAAGAGGGTACCTACTTTGAAACAGATCAATAAACTCTTGTCCTTGGAAACCTTGGAAACCATTTGACATTTTCCACCAAAAGATCCTCTCAATCATCCTCTTCACCCTTCTTAGAAGGCTACATACAAGCCTGTCATGATAGAGAACTCCCAGGCCTTTGTTTGGGGCTTCCAATTCCCAAAGCAGATTTGATCTCCCATTTGGACCATGGGAAAGCACAGTGGATGCTGGAATAAGAAGACCCAAAGAACTGTCTAGACTGGGAAACTAGGACTAAAACCAAGGATGTTCCTCTAAAACTCAGACAACAGGGGCAGCTTGTAGCACAGTGAATAGAGCACCAGCCCTGAAGTCAGGAGGACTTGAGTTCAAATCCAGCCTTAGACACTTGACACTTACTAGCTGTGTGACCATAGGTGAGTCACTTAACCCTATTGCCTAGCCAAAAACAAACAAACAAACAAAAAACCCCCCACAAAACTCAGACAATACAATTCTCTTTGGTCTGCCAGTGGGACCCAAATAAACAGAATCATAGAATTTTAGAACTGGGAGGGAACTTAGAGATGATTATTTAATCCAATCCTTTTATTTTGCTGTTAAAGATACTGAGAATCAGAAAGCTTCAGTGACTTACCTGAGGTCACATAGCTGATAAATAACAAAATTAGAACACAGGTGTCCCACTAGTCCAGTCCTTTTTAGGAATCGTTGGGCAAAATATTAAAAAAAAGTCCTGCCTGGCCATTGGGTTCCTACTAAACGATTTCATTATAGTCTTCCTATAATACTATTGCTGCAGTTTTCCTTGTATTGTAGTCATAGGATTCCAAGCTGGAAGGAACATTAGAAATCATCTAATCTAACCTTTTCAGTATATTTTATGTCCACGCAGATATTTCATTGGTCTAGTGTTCATTTACATGCCTGGCTTAGATAGTGATGTAGGTAGGTCCTACTTTAAATTTTTATTAAAATTTTAGGTTCCTTGGTGTTTTTTTCCTTTTCTCATTCTTATTCCTAGGAACTTGTACAGACTTTCAATTTCACATTAGCTTTCATAAAAATGGAAATGTGAAGATAATTACTATGGGGAAAAAATGGTCTTGCCTATTTGGCCTTGCCCAAATGTGGGGAAAGGGCTTTGCTTATTATTTGCCATTTACTGGTTGCCATCTGCTGGATGAGAGCAGCATTGTGACTTCTAGCTTCCTTAGTTCTTAGTAGTAAGTCAATGATTTCTAGATTGAAGATATTATTAAGTTGGCCCTTAATAAATGCTTGTTGACGTGATATACCCCACAGTCTCTACAGAGCACTTCCCTTACACATTCTCATGATTGTCCTTGAAGGAACTACTGAGCATCCTTCACATGGGAAGGCAGCATCAGCTGAGGAAGCTGAGGGTACATGTGCCAGATCCCCATTACACCTACTTAGGTTACTTCAGGGGGAGTGATTTTGGAAAACTGTTTTCAATCCCAGTCTTATGAGCAGAATGTTAGATAGAGGTTTAAGAGGCAATATGGTGTAGTGGAAAGAAAACAGAACTAAGAGTCAGGAAATCTGGGTTTTCCATAATTTAAGCTTTGTCATTAATTAGCTGCATGACTTTGGGCAAGTCACTTAATGTCTCTGGGCTTGGGTTTCCTCATTTGTATATTGAGAAGGTCTTTAGAATCTCTCTAAGAAATTTTCTAGCTCTGTAATTCCATAAATTCTGTGAATAAGTAGAGTTTTCTTTTTTCTAGAACTAATTTTCTGAGTTTGTTTCAAGAAAAGTACTTTGAGAATTAATGCAATACTTATGAAATATTCTAATTTCCACAGAAGAAACAAGATGGTAAAACTCCATTTTTAAGGAATGGGTCAGAACCAGAGTTAGTTACATAGGCATACCTCAGAAATACTGTGGGTTTGGTTCCAGAACATCGTAATAAAGTAATATTGCAATAAAGTGAAGTTTGCAATAAAATGATTCACAAGAATGTTTTGATTTCCTAGTACATATAAAAGTTATGTTTACACCCTACTGTGATCTAGTAAGTATGCAATAGTATGTATATACCTTAATTTAAAAATACTTTATTGCCAAAAAATGCTGATCATCATCTGAGCCTTCAGCAAGTCATAATCTTTTTGCTGGTGGAGGGTCTTATTAGTGGCTGCTGACTGTTCAGGGTGGAGTTTGTTAAAATAAGATAACAATGAAGTTTGCCTCCTGGATTGACTCTTCCTTTCATGTGAACACTTAGAGTCCGTTATAGAGTTATTAATTGGCCTAATTTCTATATTGTTGTGTCTCAGGGAATAGGGAGGCTCAAGAAGAGGGACAGAGATGGGGGAATGGCTGGTAGGTGGAGCAGTCAGAACATACATTTATTAAGTTCACTGTCTTATAGGAGTGCAGTTCATGACACCCCAAAACAAGTACAGTAGTGACATAAAAGATCACTGATCACAGATCACCAGAACATATATAATAATAATGAAAAGCTTGAAATATTGCAAGAACCAAAATGGGACAGAGAAATGATGTGAGCACATGCTGTTGGGAAAATGACACTGATAGATTTGCTCAATGCAGGGTTGCCACAAACCTTCAGTTTGTAAAGAAATGTGTATCTACAAGGTTCAATAAAGCAAAGCCCAGTAAAGTGAAGTATACCTGTACCATAAAACTGGCTTTTCTGGAAAGACAGAAATGTGGAATTAATTTTGATAGTTGTATTGAGATTTTTTTCATTTGAATAATGAAATACAATAAAATAATTTCCCATAATAATCCAGCATAAATGAAATAACAGAATTGTAAGAATCATTCAGATCTCCTTTATTAATTCACTATTTTTCCTAATCCATTATTTTTCCTTTAACAACCAGCTGATGTTTTTGTAAGAATACCATGTAAGATACCAAATATTTCTGTATGCAATAACAAAGTGTGGTCTACTGTAGAATATTTTTAGAGAATCTGCCTATTCTCTTGGAGTAGCTTCATAAAGAATGCTGTCAATATATGTGGAGATTATTCCTCTAAAGATTTTAGAGAGATGAAAAAATAGGCACAAGAGTTAGTAATTACTGATATATCTTGGCTATCTTTTTCAGTAGTAATAATGCTTGAATTTTTCCCCTCCAAACATTTGGTCTTTTCCCTTTTTTTAGATATCTTAAGAACTGATCTTTCAAAATTGTCACCTCTAACATAGACCTGTGGATGCTGGGTCTGGTAGAGATGTTTTTTCCTGTATCTTTTTTTCTTTAGTACCATTTCTGCTTCCTTGAGTGCCGCCTTAGGGGCTCTGATATTAGAGTAAGTGGCATCTCTACTGCCATTAATGGATAAAAGTTTGTTAGGGGAATTTTGATAAACCTATTGTTTTTTGGCTACATAAAAGCTTTTGATTCAGTACAGCAAAATACTACCTTAAAGACCCTCCTCCAACAAGGTGTCTAGCATGCATGTGTCAAAATTACACAAGATTCCTTGAAAGCTGTAACAGAGACAGCCTTGGTGATCATCCCTTTGATGGTTAATATCAGGTGAGGCATAAAACAGGTTGATGTATGTTCGTCAAACATATCTGTCACTGCCATGGAAGAGATCCCATGGAAGTCCAAATCAGAGAGATTCCCTACAGATGGTCAAATTTCCAGAAGCTGCCGTCTGCAGATGACATTGTGACGTCTACGTCAAACCCCATTACATTTCTGAGTCTCCTAGATGAGATTCATAACCAATTCAATTCAATAAACATTGATTAAGTGTGTACTATATATCAGACACTGTGCTAAGAGCTAAGGGTACAAAAAAGAAAAAGAATGGTAGTCCCTGCCCTCAAGGAGCTTACACCTTAATCAAGGAAGATTATTCAAGAGTTTGGCTCAACTATCTACCCAGGGAAAACTGAGCCGTTAAAGAGCTGTTGTTTTGACTATGATATACAGTTAGATTCTTGTTGTTGTTTAGTCATGTTTGACTCTTCCTGACCCCATTTGAGGTTTGCTTGGCAAAGATACTGGAGTGGTTTGTCATTTCCTTCTCCAGCTCATTTTATAGATTAGGAAATAGGCAAACAGGGTTAAGTGACTTGCCCAGGGTCACACAACTCTGGGACTGGATTTGAACTCAGGTCTTCCCTACTCCAGGTCCAGTGTTCTATCTACTGTATCACCTAGCTGCCAATAGTTACATAGACATAGTTATTTGCATGTTATCTCCCCATTAAATTTTGAGCTCTTTAAGTGCAGGAACTGTCTTTTACCTTTCTAAGTGCTGGATATTCAGCACTTAGGACAATGCCTGGTACATAGGAGGCATTTAATAAATGTTTATTGACTAATTGACATCCTGCCAGTACATCCTATCTTGGACAAGTACTGATGGCAGACTGTGTTGGTCCAGAATTAACTAGGAACAAGAGAAGGAGGAGGGGGAAGGGAATTTCATTTGAGAAATTTTAATGGCCATAACCTTCTCCTTGAAGCAAAGGCCCATCTTTTTAATAACTATATTCCATGTATGTGTATAGCCTATATCAGATTGTGCGCCATCTTGGGGAGGGAGCTAGAGAGGGAGGGGGAGAAAAATTTAAAACTCAAAAGCTTATGGAAGTGATTGTTGATAAAACAAAATAAATTAATAAAGAAATAAAAAATAACTATATTCCACTACTGTTGTTATATTGCGAAGAATTGAAGACACTATAGTCTTGAAAGAAATTAAAATAAATGTCACCTAAGAAGAATGGGGAAGAACATGGTGGGCATGACCAAACCAGCACATTACAAATAAGATGTTACAAAGAAGAAGTAGGGGAAAGTAGACCACTAAAGGGATATATGAGCCAAAAAGAAGATGGGTTCTTTGTCTGCAGAATGTGGGAGATAACCAAGAGAAGAAGGCAAAGGGGACAACCATTTGTATAGCGCCTACGACGTGCCAGGCACTGTACTAAGCACTTTCCAAATATTATCTCACTTGATCCTCACAGTAACCCTGGGAGGTAATTGCTATTATGATCCCCATTTTACAGTTGAAGAAACTGAGGCAGATGGTAGTCAAATGACTTTCCCAGGGTCACATAGCTAGTTAGTATCTGAAGCCAGATTTGAATTCATTTATTCTTGACTCTAAATGCTATGTGCTCCAGTGGTATCCCCACAATGTCACGAGAAAGTAAGGTCACATCTTAGATGAATCTCCTGTGGTGAACTTCTGGAAGGACATGAATAGAGTTTCACAGAATGGGGGCTATAATCTGCATCACTGGAGGGAGCACCCACACTGATGGGATGATAGCATTTATATATCTTCATTCATTATCTCATTTGATCTTCACAAAAACCTTGTAAGGCAGGTGCTACTATTACCCCCATTTTACA